TAGCCACTTTTTTCTCCTTTCTTTTTGTTATAATTAACAAAATGTAATTTAACAACAAACAATAGAAATAATGTCCACTATGATATCTGTGAGAATGCTAGCCTCCGAAGAGGCTAGCATGATATATGTGAAATCCGAATTCGATTCTCGACCTAGATAATATTTTTCGCAATATCTAAATTTTACATTGGCGAAATTGGATCTAAGTTATTAGCTGTAGATATAATACTAATCATCTCAAAAAAATAAATAATAAGAAAGTATAATAGACTAAGTAATCAATTATAACATAAAAATGAACTGTTGAGTAAACAAATAAAATAAATAAATAAATTTCGAAAATTCTGTTATACATCAACAAAAAAATCAAATTTTTAATAAAAAATTTTGAATTTTTATCGTTGATTAAATATATTTCATTCTGACCTAATAAAATTTTTGAGCATATAGAAATTAATTTTTAATTATACTTCTAAAACGAAATATTTAGTATATTAAAATAGAGTGTCGAACAATTCCAAATTAAACTTTATTTCTCTATTCTCTGTGCAAATTTAATTAAAATATAAAATTTTTGTTTTTTCAAAATTATTTGCTTAAATTTCTAAAATAAAATATCTAATTTCCATGAGATTATAACAATTTGGAGCAATAAAACAAACGATTTTTTAAATAAGGAAATAGGTCAAATGAATTATGTTATTGAAATATACATAAAATATAATATATAAATACGATATACGAAAATAAGTCATTAATGAATTAATTACCTTCTCTCCACTATCGCATGGCAAGTAAAACACCAATATCGTGAGGAATGATATTCCCAAGCAGGGTATTATGAGGTTAACGGTGTAGAATAGAGTTTTCCTCCTCATCGTTATATAGAAAGTGATGTCAAGGAAAGGCTCGCGACAACACGTGTAAAACTTTTCATGTCTGCAATTACACATTCATATTTTACTTAACAATCGCTTACAATATATTAAATATTAAAAATATACCTTTTTTGATTCAGAATTAAAATTGCAATTATTGCTGATTATATATGTATTAATAAAAAGTTTAATTATTAATGCTTATTAAACAATCGCTTAAGTATTGAAAAAAGTCAATCTATGTCGTTATCAGTTTGTTAAAATTCTTGTACTAGCACATAATAAAACACATAACAAAACCTTAATAACCTAAAAGAGAATTGAGAAAATCATTAATGCGTACCTTACAGCAGGTATTCGTAGTATATCCCACTCGACGGAAGTATAAAACTCCGACAGATCGATTCCAACGTCGACGACTCCATTGCTCTTTTTTATCTCGGTCTCGTTTGTGCTTTCGTCGACGTGTCGAAGATCGACCTTAACAGTAAATTATTAATTTTTATAATGCATTATTAATATTACATTACTTAACATCAATCAATCTTATATGGTAGAGAATTCCAGCAATATTATGAAAATGCTACAATATTGCTGGAATGTTGTCTGGTTTGAACACTTTGTGTTATGTAAGACCGTTACTTATGCTCGCCTTTTTTTTATTATTATAAGAAAATTCACGCGTATCATCAATCGAGTAAAATAATCGTACCCAATCTGACCTACTCGCTGTTTGTATTTACACGATGAATTCAATAAACATTAGTATGTTGTATTTGATTCAGTAATTGGTTGTTTACATGATTTGTTTGCAGTTAAGTACTCAGTTTGGCATTCTGTTGTCAATAAAGTCAAATGTAGAACGTTGTGATTTAATATTTCATAAGTAAGTTTATTTTCTATAACTACCAAATAATAATTATTGAATATTTTCCATTTAGTGACATAAATCGACACAAGTATCCCTACTGTAAAAAATAACATCACCAAGTTACATAACGAAATCATGTAATTAAGACATGTAAATCACGTAACAGATTGTATCCAAATTAGTACTTTCTGAAAAATCATATGATATTGAAAATAATTTCATCCATTGTCTGATTTTATAGTTACCAAATTTTAAAGAATTGAATGATAGAAACAGAGAAGAAAGAAAAGCATATTATTATATGATTTTTTAAATTACGCAATTTTAAAAAATCTGCACGTATACTGATTTGGAACAATCCATTACGTGATTTACTTGTCTTAATTACAAGATTTTTTTATGTAACTTTGTAATGTGATTTTTTTCAGGAAGACTTATTCTATTTTTCTTGACATTCAGTAGAATAACAAAGATAAAATGATACTTGTGTCAACTTGTATCACTAAATGGAAAGCATTAATTTCGTAGTTTATAATTATTGTAGCTCTGTATTAACATTTTACAATATACTGTGTTTAATTTATATTTTCATCATATTTTATTTATAACTAAAGAAAGGAAACCCTTTGCAAGATAGAATCTAAAAACGGAAACTTTTTGTAAAATAGAAATCTCGATAGAACTAATATATATGGTCAACTTAAGTATATTGATTATATACATCGATTGTGATGTTTTTGTCTAATATTATTTTGGTACTTTTGTTAATTCAAGCCATAAATTTTATTCATTTGTTAAACATCGTGGAGATAAGTAGATAAATCAATTGTTTGAAAACTAGTTCTTTGTATATTTATATATGTCAATAAATATGCAAATGTTAATAAATTTATAATGTTAGAAAAGTAGTATTATATAAATAACTTTATTTTTCCATCATTTTTTTTTAATAAAAAAGG